TGAGGTTCTGCTAGATGAGAAATGTACCCCTCCTCACACCAAAATTAAAATATTTCAGAGTCTCAATGTGGGTCGAACTCATGCTCTTCTTAACACCTCTCATGACTTAACATTTGGTCTGTAATTGTCTGATAGTGTTTCGTTTGGCACACTGGATGAGGCAGCTAAGACACGTGTTCCACACGCCAAGCTATCGCCTTTGTTAGTTAAAACTGGATCTAGTCGGAAAAGAGTTAGGTGTGGTCAAATCAAAACATAGTAGTAATCATAAAGTTCTTCAGCATTGGTTTGAGCCACACAGAGAGGTGAAAACTGTCTGATTAGAGACGTCGAAAAGTAACTGAAGATCGTTCTTCGTGGCGTAGATGCATTCACTTCCTCTAAACTTCTCTCAGATAAACTCATTAGTCTTCATTTAGCTGTACTTTTCTCAGTAAATTTCCTTTAATTATGGCTTCGTTTGCTCCATTTCTCCTCTTTACCTACCTACCAGTGTGCTTTATTGAAGTGTGACACTTTTGTGCAAACTTCTATGTTGAAAAATCATCTCCACTTAGGTGTTAGGAGATTTACATGTACTGTACTGTTTAGATAATTATAAAACTGCCATGTTAATTGGTAGAACAGAAAAAGTGTCTTAAAATGGACTACGAGAATATGCTTCTTCTTCTTCTTCTCCATAAAGTCAAGATTATATATTTTTTTAAATAGTTATTTGAAAGTGTAAGGAAATAGTGTCAATGTAGATTCCATGACGAAACGACTACAGTTAGATAATTATATGAGAGCAAGGAACACTAGACACTTGTTTCATCCTATTGTAGGACATATCAGAAGATTCCACTGATAATCACAGCGAGAAGTGGACTCAGTAATGTCAAGTTACAAGTCGAACACGGTTTATTATAATCTCAACGACATTTTATGGTTCTGTTAGGAACTTTAAGACTGTACACGGAGTATCTAGATCAGATTTATCTATCAGTCAAAGGACGATACATCCACATTCATTGGAACGCGAGAATAGAATTTCACACAATCACTTCAAGAAAATGTACATTTGACTGCGTACATGATTTAGGCTAAACATAATATCTTCGGATTCTAATATTGAGAAATCAATTCATAATGCTGAAATAACCTCTTTGCAATTTACTACTAAATTACAAATAACGTAATTAAAGATGAATGGTGGGTAGTAGTCATCGCTCGACTTATCAAGGAGCTCGGATTTTATAGGGGATACATGAATGACACTTTCATCATGTGTGCCGATAGCACGGCGTTTAGGACGCTCGCCGAACCTGCACAGGGTCCAGAGTTCGATCCGCGGTCGACGTACACCTGATATCTATGGTCGGTCTGCTAACTTTGGGCTACCTGTATCACATGCTCAAAATTCCATACTTGTACCAAAATACTGTGTGGAATCAAGCTATAATACAATAAACAATATGCGATGACATATATGTGTTTCTGTTATAACCATAGCGGAATTAAATGAGGACGTTGTCGCCTTGTTCTGTCTGCGCCTGACTAATATGCCTATCTGCTTCTGGTACCTTCCGATTCAGCGAACCAGGCAAATATTAAAAGACAAAGTCTTGCCTGTGACTGTGTATTGTAGTAAAACAACTACGACAAAGAAACTTATTTAGGAAATGGTGTTTATACATTTTCACAACAATAGAGACAGCTAACAGCATTTGAAATAATTGGTCGTAATAGTCAATAACAAAATATGTGGGAAATGATGATATACCATTTATGCGAGATTAACAGCCGTTGAAATAATTGAACAATAACGAAGTGCGTGGGATCCTATCAGTTTCATAAAACACTAGGCCCTACATTAGGTATTCACTGACGGTCATCATACTGTCTACTTCACACCAGTAACAACAGAAAATTGGTGAAACTCTCTGCGCCACGAGTTACTCGCAAGAACGGATGTTGGGTTGTTAAAAAGGATGAATTTATAGGAGACTACCTGCAATGGATAACTGACCAGTTTTCACAGTGTCGTTTAATTAGTCGGAGAACGAAATTTAACCTCTTCTTTCCCGACGCATCTCCAAAACATTTTCATTGACGATAGTATTAATGAAGGAATTGGATAATCATTACCCAATAGGAGTTTTCAATGCTATCAAACCACAAAGCGAAAAACTTTTGAAATGAACACGGTGTTGAAGAAAGTGACTTTTAATTTATCGATTTTCGAGTAAAATTCGCAGAGAAATCTTCGTAAAACCTTTTGATCATATAAGTATAGAAACATATTTTGCCAAAGAGGAAATGTTTTATTATTACTCTGACTTTCGAGGGGAATTCAGGACTTCAACAGGACATCTCCATTTGATTATGTCCTCCGCCGTCTTATCTACACGACTGCCCATAAGTTATCATCCCCTCCACACAATGTCTCCTCCATATCGCCGTAGGTCACTTGACAAGCCATTTTCGCGTACGATTCCACTACAGCGGATGCCTTGTGTGTGATATCAGTCAACAGTATCCCCAACGTACACCCGACCTCTCTCTTTCACTTCCTTTTGAATATTTCTTCTGGATGATAGCTTCGTGGTCGGTTCGTTCTCACACTAACCTGTTGCTAATCTCCCCAGGCCATCTGATCTTCAGTGTCAAGGCAGAGCAGATAGCAGTGGAGAGAAGTCTGAAATCTTTTGGAAATGCTTTCTATGACAGTTCAAGTCCCTCAACCACATAGAACAATGGACTTCGCATTGTCGTTCGAGAACCGTATCTTGCTCTTCATGCTGATATGGATATTTTTTATTTATTTTTTATATTTTGGATTATAGCTTGATGCCACACCGTATTTTCAGTACAAGTGTGAAATTTTCAGCATGGATATCGGTAGCCCAAATTTCGTAGGCCGACCATAGATATCGGGAGTGCGTTGGCAGGGGATCGAACCCCGGACCATGTGCATGGTCGGCGAGAGTCCTAACCCCAGTGCCACCGACGCACAGACAGATAAATTGAATTTTCAAAACGGAAAGCAAGTAGGGCGACAGTGGAAATTTGGATTATAACACTAGCATAGATACATAAGGGCGATGAATAAAAGAGTTGTTGAAAAAACCGCTTTTGTCTTCAAAACTGTGACTTCTCTGTTTCGTTGGCCAAAGCTTCAGCAATACAGAGGAGTCACACCTGTAATGATTTCAGCACCTCTTTGTAACTACGAGAGAATTCAATCCTGAGTGGTTACGAAGAAGTCTGAACGGATCTGTAAGAAGCTGAATAAATGAACATCTGATCGATGTTGGTCTTCTTATCTCTGCAGCTTCTTCTATTTGAAGTCATCCATGAAGCGTTTAAATAACATGCCCAAATCATCACATGTCCAACTCCTCCGTATCGCTAACGCTTTGGCCAAAGAAATAGAAATATCAGAGTTTTGAAGACAGGAGCGGTTTGCTTAACAACTCCTTCATTCATCGCCCTAATCTGCTGTCTATGCTAAACTACTATAATCCACATTTCCACATTCACCCTATTCATTTTCTGTTTTGAATATTCAGTCTGACTGTATATCCCCCCTTATCATTTCGATTGTTATTTCTATCATTTTTACCTTGAACCATTTCCTAATAATTTAAACCAAAATGGCTGAGTTATAATAAAGCGAAAGGTGAAGGTGAACTTGATGTCAAATTCAGCTAGGGAGAGTGTGGAAGGAGTGTGAGAAATTGGCTGTTAAGATTATATTTAATTGTTAGTTGAAACGTTTATCCAGACATATTCAGCACATGCATCAGATATTGGGGAGCGATAAAACAAGGATCTCTGATCACAAATGTTTCTGTTTCACCACTGGTGCTAAGTGAGGTAATAGCGTGAGAAATACTGAAGTTAAGCGTAGAGTGTCAGATGATGAGAGTAATTTAGTCGATTGGGTTATGTAGCTACACTGACTGAGATGGCTAGGACAGACTTTGCACATTCCGAGCCATCTATCTCCACTACGGGCTGTGTTAGCCGACATATGATTAGGCTGGAAAGGTGTTAGGGATAGTCAACTAAACACTTGGATTCAGAATATGAAGTCCATGACGGTTGGTCTGAGTCACGAAGAGAGATGTAGGCCGTCTGTTCGGGGTCCTCATAATGCTAAGAACTATTGGAAGAAGACTATCTCTGATGTAGCTAAAAATCATTGTCAGTGGCGTGGACCAATTCCTCTGTATCCAGCAAACCATCATTTCTTTCCATCAAAAACAGTCGACCTGCTTGAATCATTGGGCTACCACAATTTCCGTCCACCGAAATGCCTAAACTCTTCTTGATATCGCATTGTTTAAGTCATGCAATTATATCAGATGATTATTACATGAAGTCGAACACTTATTTAATCAGCTTCCTAATGAACTGTACAATTCTTGAAGGAAATGAAGACACAAATTGCAACATTGGTTCTGTCTTCATATGCAACAATGCTACATCACGTGATTTACCTCAGATTATTACTTAACATATAAATGCTGTGTGAAGAGGAAATATTTTGGAAATGAATCCGCTAAAACTATCTGTATTATGTGTTCCCATATTGTCTGAAAGGAAGCTGTATTGTTGCTTTTAAGCTACTTTCGTTTCTATCGTACGCTTTTCCTTATCACAATTCTTCCCGCTCTGTTTTCGTCTCATTTCTTCTGTCTTATCTCTGCCTTTGTGTGCCAATCATCAGTGGCAAACTGAACATCCGTACTTCTGTGCGAAGTTCGATAGTGAAACCAAGCCAGTCTGTCAGTCACTCATAATAATGTGATCTTCAGTGTTAAAAGGAACATGGTCAATACACACAGTCTCCATCTCTCTCTCTGTGTGTTTGTCTCTCCCTCTCACTCTGACTGTTCTCATAATTCTTATCGACCAATCAGCATTGTCTCGATATGCACACACATTCGACTTAAAAACTCTGTCGACAAGGTTCAAGTTGTCAGCTCTCACTCTAATAACCAGTCAACATTGTAGTCATGATTCAGTGGATCCTGTTAACTCTCTCATCTCTGATAATCCATCAGTCGCTATCTATCATACCCATACCGGGGAAGTACACTGTGGATAACGAGTATTGTGTTATCAGAGAACCGATTGAATTCCGTGGGAATTATCATTCGTGTATTACAATGAAAGAGGCTATTAAACGATTTCAAAGACGCGTTCACCAAGAAGATTTTCCACAACCTATTGCAACCAAGACCTCCTGCATGTTCAGTACAATTTGGTTGACAATTACCGGAGGATGTGATGAGAGGGAAGGAGTACTGAGGCCAACAAACAGCATGGATGAATCATGTAAGCAATCACATGCATTTCTCTACACAGACATGGAAAGATTCCATTGCTTTCATAGGAGATAACATGAATTTCACAGCTACCGAAGTATGGGGAATCCTACACGGATTGGAAACCATATTACAACATATATACAGTGATGACTGTGGTGCAGTAAGTCAGAGATAGTCTCGTTTCACTAGCTCACATTCATTCATTCATTCCTTTCATTGCAGAAAATCATACCGAAATTCACAGTGCAAGATTCACCCAGATTTCCATATCGTGGACTCATGCTAGACACATCGAAACATTTCCTCACCATCGGAGAAATCCACAAGTTCATTGTAAGTCATCATTCACCTTCCTCCACTCTAGGGAGACGTGAAACACAAACACACTCACACACACATTTCAGGATGCAATGGCCATGGTGAAAATGAATGTTCTACACTGGCATATCACAGACACTGAATCATTCCCATACGTCTCCTCCACATATCCTGAACTGTCAGACAAGGTGAGTGAGATTGATGACTTGCTGAATTGAGGTAATCAACTGGCACTGTGAGTGCAGGGTGCATATCATCCTGAGGCGTACGTGTACGAGCATAATGAGATAGTTGATTTAGTGGAGTATGCACGTGTTCGTGGAATTCGAATAATTCCGGAATTCGATACACCAGGTGAGTGTGATATTGTCACGTGTGGATTGAAATATTCAAATCCATTTTGGGTTTTCAATGAATACTCCTTGTTACTAGATTAGTATTCACATTGATATTCGAAATCCCTGAACATTCATGACTTGGTTATGATTTGTAAATTAACAGAGACTAACTGTTAACAGTTTGTCAAATGAATTCCTTGAAAAGCCACTGTTTACTGAAATACGTGTTTGGTTTCTGATTGATATCTCTGCAGGGATTATTCCTGAATTACCGGGGTGTTTGAGTGTTATTGTAAATTATAAGTAATTTGACTCAATGGAACGCTTTTCGTCCATCACTGACTTCAATTCAGTAGTGTGCATTTATTCTGATAGCAACATATCTGCAGTGATACCGATTGCCCGTGATGTGATCATTTCAGTCTGCCTAATATCCCGATATGGATAGTCTCATCTACAACATAGTTTTTGTTCATGATTATGACGGAATCACTGAAATTACTAACGACTGTGACCGATTGCACTATCCATACAGATTACTTTGTGAAAAATGTAAGTGGACTGCATATAGTTGGTGTTCAGCAGAACTAGCCATCGAATAACCACTGTCTACAGGATAATCCACACGCAAATCTCAGACTCATGTGTGCCTATGAATCGTGAAGATTACCTGTAGGTATATACATATATGGAGAAGGAAAGGAAAACTGACTAAGATTACTGTGAGAAATAAAGAAAGGACGGAGCATCAACAATAAATCCTCACACCCAAGTACATAAGTCAGGCAGAAACAGTTACTTCATGAATTCCGACAGACTGCAACTCACGATGATACTTACATTCAAGTGAAATGAAAGCTTCTGAATCTGAAAATTTCTTTACATCACTGTCAACATCAGTGATCATCCACATCGCATATTTCATCTATCTCATTTCACAGCACATACACAGTCATGGGGAAATGGCTATCCCGATGTACTCACTCCCTGTCACACTCAAGACGAAGAAGGAAATCAGATACTCGGTCCTGTCAATCCAACCAATCTCACCTTCATTCAGAACTTGTACCAGGAAATTCTCAGTGTATTTTCTGCTGATAACCACGTTCATTTGGGTGGTGATGACGTGGATTTCACATGCTGGTGAGTTCTCACTGATATGATTATCCTGCACCGTTCCACTGATTCACTCAATCAATGCATTCTTCACATAATATTCACAATGTTTTGAATGATGCATTCTCAATATCAGAGTGGATGTATGGAGGAGAGAGAGGGATAGAGACAGAGAGAGAGAGTGAGCAAGAGAGCGAATTGAAGTGATGTGTGATGAAATGGATATGAGGTAGGTGGGCTGGATAACAATTTTTGGTGTATTCTCTTACTTGAACTTGATACAATTCTATGAACAACTATTGATGAGTGTAGTCTTTTGTCATGGTCGTGAGGAAGAAATTTGTGTAAAGTGATCGAGAGAATGTGAGAGCGATGGGGATCAGCGTATGAGGAGAGGAGCAGTGTGACGTGGTATGATTCGATTACATTGGTCATCAAATTTTGGTCAGTATGCTCGTCACTCATATGCAACAGCAAAAGATTTCCTCATTATTCCACTCTCGTTTCACAGGCAGTCCAATCCTGACATCACAAATTTCATGCAGGAGAAACAATTCAACACTGACTACTCACAGTTGGAAAACTACTACATGGAACAACTTGTAGAAATTGTCAAATCGTCATCGTTGGCATTTGGATCTGCAATGGTTCCGATTGTTTGGCAGGATGTATATGAGAATGGATTTCGTGTAAGTGTACATTGATAATGTTCATAAATGTTCGATTGTGTGCAGTGAGTACATATGAATGTCGAATTAACTTTACCAGTGAGTGATATAGTGAACTCGAGGAATGATCGTGTACTTACTCTTACTTGATGATAGAGAATACTAAAATACTGAATGACTGCATCAATCATAGTCGCATCTGCACTCTGACATTCAGGTTTGGTGATTGGTGTCGTTGTCATTCAATCACTGGAAACAAAATTCCACAGTGTTTCGAGGCTGAATTGTGGTGTTTGTGATCCGCATATCGATCAGTTGTCTTTAAGTGATAACTAACACTGAGATGAATTCTATCACCAATCTCACTACTCAAATCCATGAAAAGACCAACAATTTGACAAGAATTATTGAGTATATTCATCGTGATGATAGAGGGCATTCACATACCACAAGAATATAATTCGGCCTAACACTCAGTCATCAAGCCTGTTGAACAGACTGTGCTGTTTCAAGAGGACTAGATATAGTAGGCAAATGCTAAGTGAGAATTACTCATTAGACTGAGCTTACTCATGAACATCGTTGCACACATGATAGACACTCCACACAAATCAAGTTGTCTGCAAACTCCTCTCATCACAGCAGTTTATATATAAAGAGTGAGAATAGATCCTAGTCTACTGCATGACAACATAAATAAAATATCACGATCACTGATGCGCAGAAATATCAAACACCATAAAACGAAAATAATGCACCAACCATCATTCATGCGGCGATATATTTCTCAGTGTTTTACTCAGCTGTGTCAGAGTTTGATGTTCCCCATCTACCAATAACTAACTGGATCACGCCACCTACTCCTCATCAGTCAACACAATCAACATTCGAACGACTGACTGGCTGATGAATCATTCTTCTGTGTTTAGAGTGACAAGGATATGATTGTTCAAGTGTACAAATCTGAAGGATGGGAGAAGAGTGTTGAGGAGATCACGGGAGCGGGATTCAAAGTTCTCATTTCGTCGTGTTGGAATTTCAGTGATGTGGGTGTTGGAGATGACTGGCGTGCGTTCTACGAGTGTGATCCCTTGAATTTCGAAGGTAATGCTGAGTTGTATCAGTTGTTTGTTTTTATTTTAACTCAGGAAAGCGAGTCTTTGTGAGATTCATGAGGTTCCCAGATGAATCACGTAAAAATTTCCAATTGGATTTATCCTTTCCTCTGGGTTAATTTCAATAATGATTGAAGTGGACATATTCGGTATGACCACTACTCATCATCATCATCATTCACTTCACTCGATCAATTTTGTCACCTCAACATTCCTACGTGATGAGTAAAATGTGACTGACGCATTCATTGATTCAGAGTGCTGATGATCTGTCCAATTAACTCTCACTACATGCACTGCATAATAAACATCCGTCGAAAAATCTCTGTTGTCACAATCACCCATCTCAATCATCAATGTGAATGAATTCAGAATGATGATTTGTTGCACGTCGTTGTCACCGAAACGTAGCATTCGATACGGACACTGAAATCAACAGATATCTAAGCTGATTTGATCACAGTTCTCTGAGATTATCCTGCCTCATCTCTAGTAGAAAGTTGACCAGGATATGCGAGAAGAAGAAGAAGTGATTTTGTAAGAATAGGAATCCCTCATCCAAATCAAAGAGCCACGTGAACAGTCGATCCATTCAGCAGAAGGTACAAATACACACACACACACACAAAATCAGCAGTCACACAGAGTAACATGAAATCACATACTGCCTTCTCCTTCTCAGTCACAATCATACAATTCAATTTCCACTGTCACATTCACGCTGTTAACTGAGTTCCACATTTCCAATTGTTTCAGGTAGTTCAGAGAAATCCACACTGGTGGTTGGAGGAGAAGGTGTGATTCCAGGTGATTACGTGGACGATTTGAATCTGATGTTGGTGTCATGGTAAGAGATGGATGATGTGTTTTGCTATTCAAAATTCATAGTTTGTAAACCAGATCACTCGTCTGACTACAGGTGGAAAACTCGTCGTTTCTGAATTCGTTGAAACGGAAAGGCTGAAAACGAGGTTGTCAGTGTGAGTCACTAGAATCAAGGCGATATTTTTCACTGGTCGAATAGTGTCATTCGAAGAGGTACAATCGTGTTATTCATAAAGGCAAAAATATTGACAAGTCGAACGAGGATGCAAGAATGACCTGCATCTACACACCGTAGTGTGAAGACGTGGTTAAGTTGTTATTTCTTGCAACTGTTGCTGACATCGAGATAGATATTCACCTCCGTATCTCCAACAGCTACAGCCACATTTAAATATCAACAATTGTATAACTCATACTGTCTTTGAGTACATCTGACTACTCGTCTCTCACTTTTTCATACCTTCCTTACCCAACAAAGGCCTCACGCTGCTGCAATAGCTGAACAACTCTGGTCTCAAGAGAGAACGAGAACAAGTGATTTCGGTGACCGCCTGAGTGAACTTCGTTGTCGAATGAGAAGGTGAGTTGCACGCTACGCCACTCCACTACACTGCACTCCACTGCATTGCATTGCATTCCATTTCATCCTGCTCATCTCCACCATCATTCCCCATTGATCTCCCCATTTCTCTAAATGCTTCTGCGTGAAATGATGCGATACCGGTTAACGAATAATAACTCCAACGCAGATTATTCCTCACATAGATATCAAGTTGAGATGTTAGCGTGTGTAAGGAGTTCTTCGTAGAAGTAGGCGAGTTATGTTCGAACTGATCCCGATTTCTCTGTGTGACAGCAATACTAGTTCATATAAATGCAGGCAAAAGTGTGTAGTTGGTGTTGAGGGCGTGAAGAATAATTCAGACATTGTAAGCGGTGATAAGATTAGGATG